AAGAAGTCACCCCCCCAGGGGGGATGGCAATGCTATAATCCCTTCTCCTCTGTTCTCCAGGATCTTGGGCATGCATACACATGCACCCAGTGTGAATTTTAAGCCACCAGGTCTGGGACTTGAACCATGGTCGGCCATATGAAAGTCCAGTGACATAACTGCTGTGCCATCTGTTGACCCCTCATGTGGCTTTTTAAAACATCTGGATTAGACTTCTGGGTTTCCTATTATAATCACTTCCCAAAGATCACTCTTCCTTGAGAAAATTCCATTAGGCTAATGAAAATGGATGGGGGGGGTCCTTTAAAAATGCGTGTGGGGAAATGAAAGTTTGAGTTTATTTTGGTGCAAAAAAAATTGAAATCCATGCATAATTTTTTCATAATATATATTTTCCATGAACTTTTTGTATTAACAAATATGTGCCAAAAACCATCCTCTTACATTATCTGCCTAGCTCCTTCTCCTCTCACTTATTATAGAGGACTCTGATTAGAGCAGCTTCTATATCAAATGAAAATGTGCAAATTTATCATCTGTTGGATGCAGGAAAACTTAATTCTGAGCAGGGCAGGGCTGTTGTGTATAGAGGGCAGGAGACTGAACTCCCGTCTCAGTTTCCTCTGCTTTAAAGTAAAAGAAGGGTGAGACTAGCTCTTCTTTCCTACACTAAAATCCTGTGGGTTCCAAGTTCACTGTCTAGTGATATTGTCTGTGTATACCACAGCCCCAGGGTGACTGTGGAGGGGAGAACTTTGAAAATCTTTGAGAAAATATGTAGTGATGAGGGAGTGGTGAGGAAAACTGAGAAGGAACTCAGATCAGTATTGCAGAACAAAGCAAGAAACTAGGTAAATACTAACGTGTTTTAACACACACAATGGATACTATATATATTGGTATGTACATTTTAAATGTAACAGGTAAGCATGTATTTATTTCTAGTATACCTACACTAAAGGTTTTAAATATACACTCTTTTTTTTTTTTTTTTTTTTTTAGGAAGTTGTTCCACCACCTGCAAAATAGCGTTTTCTTTCTCCAACTGTGACTGTGCTGTGAGGGGTGACTTTTTAGCAGAAAAGGGACTGGAATAGAAGGTGCTTATGATTCTGGCTGGATCAGAAAAATGTGCCCTCTGGTGGGTGTCCTGTCATATTATCAAGAAAGTTCTCTGAGAAACAACTGTGGTTCATGCAGTCAGGGCATTAATCCCATTTTAAGATGTCTCCTATGAATTCCTCTCATCGTCTTCCAGGAAAAATAATTTCTAGATACTAATGCAGCCTCCCATCGCCCTCACACTCTCTATGCAGTTTATCAGCCCCTCTAATTTATAACTAAGGATATAGATATACATGTTGATATGATAACATGCTAAGCCCCCATCTCTCCCTCCTAGCACCGACTCTAGCAGCTAGTCCAAGCCATCATCTTTTCCTGACCAGCCTACTGCAGTGATCTAATTATTTTTCATGCCTCTACACCTTCACCATAAATTTCATTCTCTACATAGCAGCCCAAACAGTTCTTTTAAAATATAAATGAAGGGCCAGACAATGGTGTGGGTTAGTTAATGGCTAACTGTGTGATTCAAACCCTGGACCAGGCAGGTTGAAAAACACACTGGTCATGTGTGCTTGCATGCCTGAAATCTCAAGAGAAGAATGGAGGAGAAGTAATTGTGGCATGGCCATCCCCTGTTGGGAAGGTGGTTTCTCACTTTCCCTCTATCTTTCTTCTCTCTATTTCTCTCCAGTAAGCACATGTGCCCTATAGCAAAAACAAAAACAACAAACACCCAATTGATAATTATTGAATAGATGAATAAACCTGAACCTGCAGTGATAAGTTCTCCCTCAGTATGAGCTAAGTGAAGTTCTTTCATCCCCAACCTCATGAGTTTATTGCTAACTTGCTACTACTCCATGATAGACCCTGACTTTTTTTTTTTTTTAGATTTTTGTCATAGGGACCAGCAGATGGCATAATGGTTTACTTCGCTGGACTCCCACATGGTCGACAGCGATTCAATTCCTGGACCCTGCACCTCGAAACTCATGCTAGACACATATGTGTGCATGCTCAAAACCCCAAGAGGAGAATGGAGAAGAAGAGATTGCTGTGTGGCCATCCCCCTGGGGGTGATTTTTTTACTTTCTATCTCTCTGTGTCTCTCTGGCAAGTGCATACGCCCTGTAGAAAAATATCTCTCTTAAGGAAAAAAAATTTTTCATAGGGTGTGTATACTCACTGGCAAGAGACATAGACTGAAAGACAGGGCAAGTGAGCAATCACCCCTCAGAGGGGAATGGCCATGCCACAATTCCTGCTCCTCCCTTCTTCTCACGGGATTTTAGGCACAGATGCACACTTGCCCAGCTTGTTTTTCTTTTCTGCTTGTTTTGTTTTGTTTTTGCTATAGGGGGCATGCGCTTGCCAGAAAGAGAGAGACAGAAAGAGATAAATCACCCCCCAGGGCGGATGGCCATGCTGCAATCCTTTCTCCTCCATTCTCCTCTCAGGATCTTGGGCATGCACGCACACATGCCCGGCATGATTTTAAGTCACCGGATCTGGAACTCAATCCGAGGTTGACTACATGGGAGTCCAGCGACATAGCCATTATGCTAACTGCTGGTCCCGCCCAGTCCAAGATTCAAACCGTGTAGTCAGTCATGTGGGATCCAGCACCTTCATCAACACTGACCTGACCTTGACTTTCTTCCCCCATTTTAAATTTACTTTATACACAAAATTAGATTTTCACAATGCACAATAAATCTGACTCTGACTTTCACAATGAAGTTTACTCTTACAGACACATAAATAGGCAAATCAAACTATGTTCACTTAATGACAGAGAAGAAGAAAGGAGGGGAAGAGAGAGAGAGAGAATAGTGTTCGTGATTCTGTTTGCCATTGTACTCAGTAGGTATAAGCACTAGGATAAGTATGAAATAGGACGTGTGAACCTGCTCTCTCCTCAGTTATTCTCAGTGCCTCTGCGCTCTTCACAGTGTATGTTCCATGCTGGGCATCTAAAGATACTGACTGAATGGCCTGGACTTCAAATAAGAAAAGCAGTTGGGTAATGAGTTTGAATCCTGGATCTACACATCAGTGTGTAGATCTAGGGATCTGGATCTTGGGGAACCCTTTTCAGAGCTTTAATTTTCTCATCTGTGAAATGAGGCTAACAATAGTGCCTTCTCTGTAGGACTGTTATAAAGATTAAATGAATAACATGTGTCACATTCTTAGTACCTGGAATATAGTAAACTATACAAATATTTTAAAAGAGAACATATTTGTACTTGATTTTCCCTATTTTTTTTAGAAGTTTTTGCCTTAGGGCATGTGCACTTATGGAAGAGAGAGCAACAGAGATAGTGAGAGGGGAAGTGAGAAATCACACCCAGAAGAGATGGCCATGCTGCAATCCCTTCTCCTCCATTCTCCTCCCAGGATCTTGGGCATGCACGCACATACATCAAGCGTGAATTTCAAGCCACTGGGTCCAGGACTTGAACCACAGTCAGCCATGTGGGAGTCCAGCAACGTAACTGCTATGCCATCTGCTGACCCCATTTCTTGATGACTTAATATCTTGAGTACTTAATCATATACTGGTCTGCTATAATTTTCATTGTGCTTTTTAGACAAATCATTTTAGTTTTAGCACTAAACACAGTCATTATTTTGTAGCTGTTTCTAGTCTAGCATTTATGCTTATCCATAAATTCTATTTAGGCCAAAATATCTCTAACTCTGCAAAATGAAACTGTATCTTTAGAGGGTCACCACCCTATTATAGTAGAACAAAAGCTGTTTCTTACTTTTTAGTTCTGTAAGCTTTTCTTGGCCAGCATTTCTATAACATAATATTGTTATTTGGTAGTTGAATGTCACTCAGTTCTACAGAAAAATAAACAACTGTGCTTTTCCTAAACCTGTGTGCCAAGTCATCCCTGAACCAGGGAAGTTGGGCCAGATGATCTCTGGAAGTCTTCTTTTTAGCTCTGTTTTTCTTTGTTCTTTATAAAAGTGAAAATAGCTCAGAAATGAGTTTCAAGATTTAGCACTGTGCTAACTGTGCTTGATCGCTCTGTAAATCTTGGACAATTTCATGAGATGGTTTAAACTCTGCTGCATTGTTTAGAAGAGACTAAGTTCAGATTCAAGTTCACAAGAAAAAAAAAATTCATTTGAACTGTGGACAGCTGTCAGCACCCTACTGGCTCAACTTTTCATCACTTCCAGCCTTGCCTTGATCATCCACTCATATAAATTTGTATAGGGCCTCTTAAGAAAGGACTGTAAACACCACCCAGTAATATTTGTTCAACTCTCCTTGAGGTTATGCTACATGGATAAACACCTCCTGCAGTTTCATCCCTCTTTCCCCAGCCTTGATCATCCACTCATATAAATTTGTATAGGGCCTCTTAAGAAAGGACTGTAAACACCACCCAGTAATATTTGTTCAACTCTCCTTGAGGTTATGCTACATGGATAAACACCTCCTGCAGTTTTTACCTTAGTTATGGTACCATAATTCATGCATTCATTCATCCAATAAATATCGACTGAGGGCTTAATGTGTGTTAGGAATTGTGCTTGTGCTGGCCACTTGGTTAAAAACCTAGGGGTCATCTTAAATACACCCTTTTCTCTCACTGCCCTCCTATTAGATCAGCGAACAAATTGGTGCCAAAGCTACCTTTTAAATATCCTTTGAATTTTTGCTCTCCTCACCACTCACTCCCACTCACTATGTAGCAAAGGCAGTCTAAACCTAGTTACTTTGAAAAACAGAGCATGAGGCACAAGCCCAGAATGGCAAGTAAAGAGGAAAAGAAAATGAGGCAAGGGAAGACGGGACACCATGAGAGGCATTGCTTGTTACCACACTGGCTTCTGCCCTGCAGTCATACAGCACATCACTGAGCATGCTTGGGACTTCTCCAGAAGGGTTACAGGAGAAGCTGGGTCTCAGATAGTCCTCAGGAGGAAGAAGAGTGAGCGTATCTGCCTATCTTTCTCCTGGATCCATTTGGCATTGGTGGAAGTTGGTGAAGGTTTACATCAATGGAGAACAAAACACCCCTGAACTTCTGGATTGTGTCCTCTGGCCAGTCGAGGGCTCTCAGGAGGCAGACCCCCTGTCCGGGGCATGGTGCTTCATCCAACTGCAGAAGTCCAGTGACAACCTGCACAGGTGGAGCTCTGACCTAGAGAGAGAGAAGGAGGCAGTCTGGGATCTAAGATACACAAGGTTTATTTCTCAATGTAAATAAAGGCCCTCAAATTCTTATAACAGATTACTACAAGGCCTTTGAGCCTTTCATTTACTCCTTGCTAATCCATTCTTTGCCCTGTACCTAGAGTGATCTTTGTCAGACTCAAATCTTTCACCAGCTTTCCTTAAACTCCTGGATAAAAGCCCAGCATTTACCATGGATGCAAGGCTTCATGAGCTTCCCTTGGTTGCTTTTTAGGTCTCTTAGGTAGGAGAACTTTTGCCAGTAGAAACATAGCTCTTCAATAACATTAATTGGTGGGACCAGCTGTTAGCGTAATGGCTATGTCTCTGGACTCCCATGTAGTTGACCGTGGTTCGGGTCCTGGACCCGGCGCCTTAAAACTCACGCAGGGCCGTGTGCATGCGTGCCCAAGATCCCGAGAGGAGAATGGAGGAGAAGGGATTGCGGCATGGCCGTCCCCCATGGGGGGTGATTTCTCACTTTCTGTCTCTCTGTCTCTCTCTGTCTGTCTGTCTGGTGAGTGCACATGCCCTATAGCAAAAACCTCTCCCCCAAAAAAGAAATTAATTGGTTTATTTTCCAACTGAAAGGTAATATTGTCAGGCCAGCCTGTAGCCTAGTGGTTATAGGAGTTAGATCCCATATGGGCAACTGCAGTTCAAATTCTAGCCCCAATAGCTTGAAAACCATACCAGATGCATGTGTGCTCAAAATCCCAGCAAGATAGAAAAATGGATAAGGGATTTCAACATGACCACACCCTGTGGAAGGCTGCATACCAGCGAGTCCGAGAGGCCATTTTCATGAGTCTCTTACTATTGCCATCTTAGGCTCAGAGAGCAAGCAATTACAAAGGCCACAATTGGCTCCCCTTCAAAAACCTCACCTTCAAAACCATACTCTGATTGGCCACTTCCCATAGCAAATCGGTGAGCTTAGAATCCCTCAGATTTGCATATCCGGCACCTCATGATTGGTTCACAAAGCAACCAATCATAACCCACCTTTTATTATCCTTCATTCAACCAATCATGGCCCACCAACATGTATATAACCACTATCCCTGGCCCATAATCGCCAGACGACCCTGAAGACCCTGAAGAGTTGTGACACCGCATCATCACCGGACGACCCTGTGTTGTGACACCGCGTTGTCTCCGGATGACCCTGAAGAGTTGTAACACTGTGTCATTTCCGTGCTGCCCACAATAAAGAGACGACCCTGAAGAGACCCTGCGTCGTCTCTGTGCTGTGACAGATCGCCGTTCGTCCCGTCTCTCACTCCTTCCCTCAGGAAACCTGTTCGACTGTCCCGCGGCCTGGGACAACGCCCCATTGAAGTGTACTTTCTCTTTCTCTCTCTGCCTCACTCTGGTGAGTGCATGCGCACCTGGCAATGAAAAAAAGAAAATGATGTACTCATAGAAAATTTGGAAAATGCAAGAAACATGAAAAGGGAAGTAATCAATAACCTTGAGAAAAGAAAAATCTTCTATTAACCTTTTGGGGTAGTACATCCCGGGTGCCACTATACCCAGTGTTTAAGTTGGACAGGGAATTGAACTCAGGCCTCCCATGTAGTCCTAGCCTATGAAGTACAGTGTCTTAGCAGGACACACCATTGTAGCTAGGCCTCAAAATAATTTTTTTGTTTTCTTTTTAGAAGGATTGTGGTATAGGGCGTGTACGCTCACTGGGAAGACAGAAAATGTGAAATCACCCCCCTGGGGGATGCCGGTGCCATAATCCCTTCTCCTTCATTCTCTCAGGATTTTGAGCATGCATGGACATGCACTTGGTGTGAGTTTTAAGCCACCAGATCCAGGATGCAAACCTCTGTCAACTGCATGGGAGTCCAGCAATGTAAACATTATGCCATCTGCTGGTCCCTCAAAAGTTTATTTTTTAGAACAAAAAATAATCTAATTTATAACTATTAACTAAATTTTACCTAAAAACTAAGGATTTTTAGCTGTGAAAGTAATATTTTAATTAACATATATGCATTTTTTAAATTCTGAGGTTTATATTTCAAGAATAACTTCATTCAAGTTTATATTCCACCAAAAGTAATGTCAATACCACCCAAGTGGCTCAATTTAATAATATGCACTGAATCAGCCTGTGGCATTGTTGTTCAAGCAGCTAGATCCCACGTGCCATTTGCATAGTTCAAGTCCTGGACCTGGCAGCTTGGAAAACATGCTGGGTGTATGTATATGGTGTATGCCTAAAATCCCGAGGGGAGAATGGAGGAGAAGGGATTGCAGCATGGCCATTGCCCCTGGTGTGTGTTTTCTCATTCTCCCACTCCTGTTGAGCATATACATCCTACAGCAATTTTTTAAAATATTAAAAAAGCTCAACAAAAAATTATTTTATAATCCTATAAATACCAATATGGTATTTTATTCTACTTATTATAAATAAATCGATATACTAACATTTATGTTTTCCCAATCACTCTGTCAATTATAGACTTCACGTTGTAGTTGATTAAAATGCTGGGTATTTAAAAAATAATCACATGGTCAAGACTAGATTTTGAACAAAATAACAAAGGACGTTAATATTTAAAAATCAAGGGGCCAAGTGGCATGGTGGTTAGGTTGTCCAGATCCTACATGGCTGACTATGTAGTTCAAGTCCCAGACCTAATGGCTTTGAAAAACATGCTTGGCACACGTGTGTGGATGCCAAAACTCTGAAAGAAGGGAGAGATGGAGGAAAAAGGGTTGGCATGCCATGGGGGTTGTTTTCTCTCTCTTTTGTCTCTCTATAGTGAGCATACATGCCCTCTGATAATTTTGTTTTTAAAGTTGAGGGGCTGGCAGATAGCATGGTGGTAAAGGCACTGGAATCCCACATGGCCAATAGCAGTTCGAGTCCGGAACCTAGCGGCTTTCTCACTTTCCCTTTCTCTCTCTCTCTCTCTGTCTGTCTCTTTCTGGTCAAATTGAAAATAATAAATAACTTTTTTTTAATTTTTAAATTGAGCCTTATTAAAACTGCATCAGCATATCTAAACAAAAATATAAAGCTACTAAATAGCAAATACTTTTGTATAATTGCAATGAAATCAGATTAAATTCATATTAGTATCATGAAAACCTTAGTATCAAGTTTCTGATGAAGGAACAAAATCAACACCATCCTAGCTTTTCTTTTTTTTTTTTTTTTTAAAGATTATTCATTTAATTTTATTTATTTATTCATTCATTCATTCATTTTAATTTGGCCAGAGACAGACAGAGAGGGAAAGTGAGAAAGGAAGCCACCAGATCCAGGACTTGAACCATGGTAACCATGTGGGAGTGTCCAGCGCCTTAACCACCAGGCCACCTGCTGGTCCCCCATCCTAGCTTTTCTAAAAATTATTTTGAACCATCTCTTCAGTCAGACAAAACTCTTAGGGTGCAAATAACAACACAAAAATAATCTTAGATCTTATAATTCTGATACTTAATAACAGGAAACCCTTATTGAGAAAATATTACACATTTATAAATGAAAGACATCTTTCTGTCTAGTGATTTATTAGAGACCCTCTATGGTTCATTAGCCAAGTACTCAAATTATTTTACTTAATGCAATTAGAAAGAAATTTGCTTCTTGGGCATGTTTGATTTTACACATTCCATTAGTCTCTTAGGCCTTCACTTAGAGGATATAAATCATAGGAAGCAAAGGATGACATCTTGACTAATATTCTTATATTTAAGTTATTAAAATTGCACATAGTAGTTATTTTTAAAATCTAAGTTTTCAAAAGTTTACGTTATAGTCCTCCTGCCTCAGTCTCCCAGCTATGACTACAGCCTCGTTTTTAGGCAGGCTCTCATTATGTTGCCCAGGTCAACCTTGAGTTTGCGAACTTTCTGCCTCAGCCTCCTGAGTCACTGTGATTATAGGTGTGTGCCACCACATCCAGTGTTTAAGTTGGACGAGGAATTGAACTCAGGCATCCCATGTAGTCCTAACCTATTGAGCACAATGTTTCAGCAGCACACACCACTATAGCTAGGCCTCAAAAGTCTATTTTTAAAAAAAAAAAAAAATCTAATTTACAGCTACTAAGTCAACTACTTAAAAACTAAGAAGCTTTAGCCATGAAAGCAAATTATAAATTTTTCCCATGCTCTTATAAAACATGGTTCTGATGTACGTAATAAACCTAAATTAGTATTCACAAGAACTGTCTGAAATTATTGTACCTTTTGACTCAATGTAAGGTAAAAAAAAATCCCAATTATGCATAAATAACTCAAAATTAGAACTTGCAATGGCAATGTCAACAAGGCAGAACAGCTATATGCTACACTAATGATGAATTTCACTGAACATCTCATGAAATACAACAGATGGCAAAATAGGATGGTTTCCGGAAAGTTAAAGCTATCAGAGCTATTAATAGGAATGTAGTATATACTAAAATATAGCAAGGCCAAAGCATTAAGGCTGTTAAAAAGTGGATAAACGGCCTAGCACAGTGGCACATGCTTGTAAGCTCAGTTACCTGGGAGGCTAAGGCAAGAGGACAGTGAGTTGGAGGCCAGGTGGGCAACATAGATAGACCCTGTTTCTTTCTTTTTTCCCTTTCTTCTCTCCTTTCTTTTTAAAATTTTGCCAGAGGGCATGTGTGCTCAGAAGCTGAGGGGTGAGATGAGAAAGTGTCTCCTCCCCACCCCACCTCCACCCCAGTCCACAACTACCCACCCCCCATGGGGAGTGATCACCCTGTAGTCCTTTCTCCTTCATCTCTCTCTCTCAACTTTCAGGATTTGGGGCAAACATGCACACCTAGGTCCTGACCCAGGACTTCAACCATGCTGTTGGTCACGTGGGTTCCAGCAGCCTCAACCACCACACTATGGGCTGGCTCATGAGACTCCATTTCTTTTTCTTTTGGAGAGATTTTCGCTATAGTGCGCGTGCGCTCACCAGACAGACAGAGAGAGACATAGAGA